ACCTTAGCTCAGGGCGGAGCTTGCCAGAGACGACCCCCGCTCCCACCGCCCCTACCACCGCCCCAGCTTTTCAATGCCCCATTGTTTTCTAACCTTTCTTCAAAAAGGCCCACTTTCCCCCACCTCCGAGCCATAATTTGTCTTCCTGAAACCTTGACTTGTCCCAAAGGTGCCTTATATCCAGTCACTCTGAGACCACCACTCAGCAAGACCCCATTCAACCGGCACTCTTTAATGAGCTTAGGTTCTAGGCCCTGGACATACCAAGAGGAACACCCAATATATTCCTACCCTTCAGGAATATTACAGGTTGAGAGAGAGATCGATCTAGACAGATTACAGGACTAAACGTTCAGGCTCCCTAAAATACAAAGAGTGATTTATAAGAGCTTAATATAGGTAGCACAAAATATCTTGTTTCTTTTTTTTTTTTTTTCTGTTTTTTTGAGACATGGTCTCACTATGTAGTTGAGACTGACCTGGAACTCACTATGTAGCCCAGGCTGATCTTGAACTCACGGCAATCCTCCTGCCTCAGCCTCCCGAGTGCTGGGATTACAGGTGTGCGCCACCTCGCCTGCCTTATCTTGTTTCTTTATTGCCCTTAAATCAAGCAAATAAATCCTTCAGGGAGCTGCCATCTTCCAGAATGATGGCAAGTTCAGTTTCACTGAAATCCTCTTTCCTAGGTCATTCCAAAGGAACCATGATCTCTATATAGAAAAAAGGGTTTTTTTGTTTTGTTTTGTTTTGTTTTTTAAAACCTCCAGTTATAAGTCCACTCTGGTACTAAAGCCACAGACATTACCCCATGTCATAGGATTTTCAAGTTCAGGCTCTGTGGCCAGTCATGGGGTTGCCAGGGGTCAGACACCAGGCCCTACAGCACTCCTTGCTGAGCTGGATTTTCCCTAACCACCTCCACCATTCCCTTCTTGGGGACATTCAAAATAGATCCTCCCATGAGTTTAGGTTTTTTCAAAAGACAGGAAGAAAGCTAGGTTAGTGGTGCATACCTGTAATCCTAGCACTCGGGAGGCTAAAGTAGGAGGGGAGGATGTATCAACTTCAAAACCAACCTGGGCTACATAGCAAAAAATTGTCAAAGCTGGAGTGTGTTGGCATACACCTGTAAATCCCAGCACTTGGGATCCTGGGCAGGAAAGTCATCACGAGTTTGAGGCCAGCCCAAGCTACAACATGGTGAGTACAAGGCCTGCCCAAACTACAGAGCAAGACCCTGTCTCAAAAAACAAAATAAAACAAAACAAAAACTGTCTAAAAAAAAAGGAAAAGCCCTGTTATCTTCTGCCACTATTCTCTTCATATCTCCAAGGCCTCAAATGGTAAGTAGCTTGTTGGCTATCTGCTAGAATAAACAGATAGGGATGGAGAATACCCCTATCTCTAAAATATGTATATCACAAATATGCAAAAAAGAAAAAAGGGACATAACTCTTCCTGCTCTGTCATGAGCCAGTTGTGGGCCCTTCTGTCAGGAACTTACCCTCCCTCTAATTTAAATTCTTGTTTTTAAAATGGATAAAACAAAGTTAATGTGGGATAAATAGCAAAGTTACCATGACTTCAGAAACACAAGATAATTCCTCAGTTCTTATCTGGAAGTGGAGAACGTAGGATCAGAGATGGGTGACCCAGAAATCAAGGTGGATATGAGCATAGGTATGCCAGTAGGAAGGAGAGGGATCCTGGGATCGCAGCCTTCTGAACCCTGAATCCACCTTTCTCCACAGCACCTGTTCTGGATGTCCCAAAGATGTCTTTGATACAGCACATCCCTACAGGTCCTCTTTGTTTTGCCACAAATTTACTCTGCAAATTGGGTCCTCAGAAGGGCTTCACCATGTACCTTCTGTACATTCAGGCATCTTCCCATGTCTGTCCTCTAGTCCTTGCCCACCTAACATAGACAGTCTACAAGTCCAGGCTTCTGTCCCTCTGAAACAGGTCTTGTGTCCATTCTAGTCCCTCCGCCCCAGCCTGACCACCAGCATCTTCTTTGCTGATCCTGTGGCAGGTTCCTGTCTGGTCTCCCTAATATCAGCCTGTCTACTTCCAGGCCATTCTCCTGCCAGTTCCCAGGCTTATCTTTCTTTCTCAGTTTTTTTAAAGTGGATGGTTGAAAGTCCCCCAAAAGATGTCTAAGTCCTAATTCCTAGAACCTGTGAATGTTACTGTACAGGTTGAAAGAGATTTTATAGATGAGATGGAGTTAAGGACCTGATTGGGGAGATTATCCCAGATTATCTGAGTGGCTCAAAGGAATCACAGAGGCCCTTGTTCTTTTTTTTTTTTTTTTTTTTTTTTTTTTTTTTTGGTACTGGGAATCAAACTCAGGACCTTGCACTTGTGAGGCAGGCATAGCACCACTGAGCTAAATTCCTGGTCCCACTCTGGATTTTCTTGTTGTTGTTGAGACACAGTCACACCATGCAGCTCAAGCTTGTCTTGAATGCCCTATGTTTAAACTCTGCCTTTTTTTTTTTTTTTCCAATACCAGGAATCAAACTCAGGACTTTGTGCTTGCCAGACAGGCACAGTGCTACTAAGCTACATTCCTGGCCCCAAGGCCCTCATTCTTATGAGAAAGTCAGGTCAGAGCGGAAGAAGTACCTGTGATGATGGAAACATAGTCAGGGAGATTTGAAGACATTACTCTGCTAGGTTCAAAGATGGAGAAAGGAGCCATGAACCATGGAATGCAGGCAGCCTGTAGATGCTGGGAAAGGCAAGCAAACAGGATCCTCTAGAGCTTCTAGAAGAAACCAGCCTGCTGTCACCTTGACTTTAGCCCAGTGAGATCCATCTCAAACTTGTGACCTGTAGAACTATAAGATAATACATTTGTGGTTTTTGTTCGGTCAGCTTCCTTCCACCTCCCTTGTCTGTGTAGCTGCCTGTCCCTGTCCTCCACAATGACTGCAGCTCCTGGAACCAGCAGCATTGCTTCACCCTCAGGCCTTTTCCCACAGGTTTCTCTTTACTGAGAGGGTTGTCCCAGCTCCCTAGTGCCACCCTCGAACAATTCCTACGAACACGTGAGACACATTTTTCTGTGACAGAATTCAGTCTCTTGGGCTTGTTTCTGCCCAGAGCTATGGCCTCTCACCCACAAGTTAGGTCTACCCTGGGAATAAGAGCCCCAGCCACTGGGAGGAAAACAAAAAGCCAACTGCGTTTTTATGGCTTGAGAGCATATGAATGAAATTGTGAGACAGTTTGCATGACCCTGGGAATGAGAGGCAGCTCCTGGGTAGGCAGAGCTGGCACATCCCACCCTGGGCTAGAGCCAGCAGTAGATCCTCAGTCAGAACCACTGTGCTTCCAGGTTTCCTGAGCCTTGTCACCTGACCCAGGACAGTTCAGCAGTTAGCTGTTTGAACTCCATCTCTGCCAGTCATTAGGTAGTGACCTTCAGCAAATGTGTTAACCTTTCTCCAAATCTCAGTGTGCTCATATATGAAATGGGAGTCCCAAGAGCTGCTATACAGGGCTGTGAGGAGGCCTGAAAATTGGCCCTCTTGATAAAGTACACAGAGCATGTTTTATGGGTAGTAGTCATTGGTATGTATAGCCTGGGCCTTCCTTATCTTCCTACAGGAAATGATGCTGTCCATTTCATCAGTGAATGCATTTAAATTTAATTATCACATTATTCTGGTTGGAAGGTGGCCAGCCAAGAGCTTTTGTTCAGTTTGGGCTTTGTCTGTGTCCCTGGATGAGTCAGCCCATCTATTTGGCTTGTCCAAGCCAAGCCTGGTGGTGCATGCCTGTAATTTCAGCACTCAGGAGGCTGAGGCAGGAGGATCGCTTTGAGTTTGAGGCCAGCCTGAACTACATAGCAAAATCCTGTCTCAAAAGACCAAAAAAATAAAAAATAAATACTTGGCTTGTCCCCCAACTGCCCTTTCTTGCTTTAACCACCAGCATCTTTCCCTGACCAGTGGCCTCCTGACTGGTCTCACCGCATCCACTGAGAGCTCTCTGTCCCCATCCCTGCTCCTGTCAGCCCATTGTCCTTACAGCCTGTGGCAGTCTTAAAAAAAAAAAAAAAAAAAAAAAAAAAAAAAGATTTACTTTTTTTTTTTTTTTTTCTTTCTTTTTTTGTTTTTTTTTTTTTTTTTCTTTCTTTTTTTGTTTTTTTTTTTTTTTTTCTTTCTTTTTTTGTTTTTTTTTTTTTTTTTCTTTCTTTTTTTGTTTTTTTTTTTTTTTTTCTTTCTTTTTTTGTTTTTTTTTTTTTTTTTCTTTCTTTTTTTGTTTTTTTTTTTTTTTTTCTTTCTTTTTTTGTTTTTTTTTTTTTTTTTGGTTTTTGAGACAGGGTCTCACTATGTAGTTGAGACTGACCTGGAACTGACTGTGTAGCCCAGGCTGGTCTCGAGCTCACAGCAATCCTCCTGCCTCATCCTCCCGAGTCCTGGGATTACAGGCGTGCGCCACCACGCCCGGCTTACCCCAGTCTTTAAAACCTTGCCTGCCCTCTCACTCCATCTGACCTCTGTGGGCTCGCTGGCTGACCTTTTTTTCCTGGAAGGACTCAGCTTCTTCCATTCTGGACTGGTTCTCGGGACTCCAGGAACTGCTAGAAGATACTCCTGGGAGATCGGGCTCATTTTGCCCAAAACAGCAGAACCTGCACTTGGGCTCACTGTACCTGGAACATCACTTCCTTCCAGAAAGTATTCTCTGACCCACAAAATAGAAAAACTTCCCAGTTTCCTCGGTCAGTGGCTTCTCCACTGTAAAGATTTGATTGAAGGCTGTCTTTCCAGCTAGACAGAGATCACAGGGGAGGAAGGATATTTGTTTTGTTCACCATTGCTTCCCTAACAGAGCCTAAAACACAGTAAGTGTTCAATAAATGTGGAAGGAAGGAAGGAAGGAAGGCAGGAAGGAAGGGATGGAGGGAAAGTGCTACTTATAGGAATTCTTTGTGAAGCCTTTTATAAAGCAGAAAAACTACCAGGCTAGGGATTTAGCTCAGTGGTGCCACCGCTTGCATCGCAAGCACAAGGTCCCAAGTTTGACCCCTGTACCAAAAAAAAAAAAAGTTAAAAACTAATGTTGAGGAGTTATTTTTGTACAAAAATTGATTTTTCTGGGCAGGGGATGTAGCTCAGTAGTACAGCACATGCTTAGCTTATGTGAGTCCTTGAGTTCAAGCCCTAGCACCTCAAAAAAAAAAAAAAAAAAGTTCACTTTCCTACACTATCATCCTTCAACATAATAAATCTATTTTTTTCTACAATCCTTTTAAAACACTTTTTTAAAATTTGCTACATTCAAGACATTTCCTTCCATTAATTTTTCCTTGTTATGTGGTTTTTATGACCACTGTGCTTTAAGCAAGAAATGCCATTGGGTATTTGAAATACTCTCTCTGCTTCCTCAGTGAGAAGGCTCTGGCAGCTCTCCTGCTGTTGACTATAATCAGTGTGACTCGGAACACAATGTCACCCTTCCAGAATTCATCTCAGACCTAGATAAAACTTACTTTGTGTCTCCAAGTTAGGGACAAGATGCCTGGGAGCAACACCTTATGCAGCAGAGCTGCTGAAGGGCTACTCCCCAGGGACAAGTGAAATAAAACTCAAGGTGTGTGGAAAATGTGTTTACTGAGTTGTAGGAAGCAAAGGTTTTAAGGCTTCTCTGCCAGTAATTCAGTTTTTATTTTATGTTTCTTGGAAAAGTAAAGGCTTGTATTTACAACGTGTGTTACCTAAGATATAGGAAGAGGAGGGAGGGGGAGAAATACCCTGGTTTGCTAAGGATTTCTATGCCTAAACCAGGCTGGTCCAAGCTGCCCACTCTGCAACTGACCTCCACTGGCCCTACATGGGTCCCTAGGGGTGAGAACTTCCTTTCAGCATGAAATCTGAATGCTTGCTCATTTCTATGGGAAATGGTACATGCATGCAAATATGTTGGCTGCTCTCATTTACTTTATTTCAGAAATTGTGCAGGGCTGAGACACCTGAATTTTTCCTCGAATACATGAAAGGAAATTCTGTGCCTGAACCTCTCAGACCTTCTCCCAGTGGAATTCCTTTTGAGTGTTCATATCTCAAAACCTTATGTAACCTGACACAATTACCTGAAAAAGCTCGGAATCCAAAGAACACTGTTATCAGGTAGGAATGAAGGTCAGCATTGGGGGAGAAGTGTTCTTCCCTGTGTGGGGACTGGGTCCTATCTCACTGTAACAATGCCCAATTCACATTTCAAAGAAAAATGCTAAACTTCTGGCTCAGGGACCAGGACCAGTGGGCCCACTTGCCCCTTCTCTCTAAACAAAGAATCACTTAATGAGGGCTCTGGGGGAACTACAGAGCCCTGGACCTGGCTGGCAGTTAAAAATATTCCAGCAATCACCTTGAGTGTCTGGCCTTCCCAGGATGGAAGGAGCAGTGGCTTTGGGCCCCTTTGGAGGGATAACCCATGACTGCAAAATCGACCAGCCAGAGGGGTTAGGGTCTTGTGGCAGTGGCTGGTGCTGCAAATGAGGTGTTCATGGGGGATCTGGTGCTCATATTTTACTGCATGGTCGGTCCAGGTTGATTCTGACTCAAGCCTGGCCAGACTCCCCCAGCCCAGCACACCCTGAACTCAATGAGGAGGATGAATGTGAGGACATAAACTATAAGCACAGACCTGAAATTGGGAGTCCACCAGATGACCCTGTGTTCTGGAAAGCCCTCCAGCCGCACAACTCTTCTCCCTTTGTTTTCACTCTTAGAAATGCCAACCCCACTTGCTATTTGCATACCAGCGGTGAGGGACCTCCACAGAGAACAAGTACCACTCATAGGTGGCTGCCTTTTCAAGGAATTTGCTGGAGAAAATTGGAGGCAAGGCTGTGAACAAAACCTCCTCCATCTGGTTTCAGTTTATTTAAAAAAAACAACAACAACAACACACACACACAGGCCTCCCCACCAGCAATCAGGAAACAACCTCAGCTTCCCCAGTGGGGATATTAGCCATCAGGGGTGGAGCTAAATTATGTATATGCAAATAAATGACACCAGCCAGCCAACAGCAACTAATTTTTGTATGTTTTGCAGTTGTTCCGCCAAGAAAAGACCTGAATCAGGGGTGACAGAAGCTGTCAAGGAAGCAAGTTTTGGAATTAATATTAATAATCAAGTTGCCTTAATTCTGCCTTTGGGAGACATATTTTTAATCCAGAAGCAAATAGAAAAGATTGGTTATCTTTTGCCTAGTAATGTCCACTGAATAATGCCAATCTTCTAGCTGAAGGCCAGGGGCAACGATGCCTGGTGGTTAGGAGCTGTGTTGGCTGGCTGTGTGGCCTCGAACATAGCAATTAACTTCTGTAGGTCTTTCTCTTTAGTAGTTTAGAAGTTGCTCCAGAGGGATGATTCAAGGATAGTAAATAAAATAAAGCATAAGCAAGTTGAGCAGAAGGACTGGCATGCAACAAACACAATAAATGTGGAAGATTATTAATAACTCCAAATCATACCAGCAGATCCAAGAAGGATATCACCCAGAGTCAGCCAAGAAGTCTAAGTGCTGTCAGCTGGCACTTGCTTTTCCCCTGGGGCTAGTCCAGAAAACAGAATGTGAGCTCTGTTTCCCACCTCCACCTCTGGGGACCTTGATCTCCATATATCTGCCTTCTATCCTGGAGACAGACAATTCAGAGGAGGATACCAGGTACAATTTCAAATCTAAGTGGTGCTCCTGGCTTCCTGCATCTTACTGTCCCCTCTTCCTGGTAACTAAAGGGCTGAATCTCCAGGTACACAGACTAAATGGGATACCTCTGAAAAACTAGGGATTTGGTTCCTACCCAGGGCACTCCAGGGCTCGGATGCCACATGTGTGATGTGCTGGAGCTGATGGGCATCCAGCAGCCCCTGGCCTCAGGCTTTGCATGCCCACAAGTGCCTCACACTCAGGTTGTCTAAATGAGACTTTTGTTTCTGTTCATCATCTGGATACAGCAACAAGACTTCCAACCTCCATTCTTCCTACTTTCCCCAAATGGGACATAGGTCTCATTTGCTTAAGACCATCCTAAGCTCTCATTTGCCCCTAGAGTGATACCTAAGAGGCCATGTATGTAGCTTTGCACTAACATAGTTCTTGCCAGCAGACTTTGTATTCAAATATATCTGAGTCAGGATGTTGGGGCTGGTCCAAGTATACTTGTGTTTGAGACCTTGAGAGACTTTTATGGACCTAGAAGCCTTGGTTCCCTTGAATGTAAAATGGAGGTAACGAGATGTCTATAAAGAGTTATGTTGAAACCTCTTTACCCAACCCAGGTCCTGCGACAGCACAAGAGGCTCTGAGGCTCTGCATGGAATGAAGGCTGAGGATGTGGTGGCTGAAAGACTCAGAGATGATGAGACTAGCTTTAGACATGCTGGATATGTACATGGGGCCAATGTGTGTCCAAGGGAGGCATCCAGGGCAGCTGGCTGTGTGGGCCTGGAGTTAAGAGGGAAGCCTTGGCTGGAGAGCAAGAAAGCATGGGTGTCACCAATATGAGTAGGAAGATGAGCTCATTATTGGGTGGGGGGAGTGAGCACAAAGGCCTCTGCAGTCACAGGCTCACCCACAAGAAATACAATCTCTTGAAGAAGGTGAAAAGAGAAAGGCAGAGAGGTAGGAGGAAACTCAGCAATGATGGCTTCACAGACATCAAAAGAAACAGGACTTGAGGCAGTCAAGAGAGGTCAACAGGGCAGAGACTTCAAGGAGGCCAAGTTAGCAGAAGGCAGAGATGGATGGCTCTACGGTATTTGAGGACTAGGAGGTCATTTATTGGTTACATCTGGAGAGGTCAGGATGGGAAAATGACTCCAGGCTAAAGTGGGGGAGGGTGAGCAGTGATGTAGACTGTAGACAGCTTTCAAGAAATGGGCAGAGACTTCAAGGAGGCCAAGTTAGCAGAAGGCAGAGATGGATGGCTCTACGGTATTTGAGGACTAGGAGGTCATTTATTGGTTACATCTGGAGAGGTCAGGATGGGAAAATGACTCATGACTC